CCACCAGGGGGCACCTAATGTACTCAGGGCCTTGATGTCAGCCAGGGTCTTGGCATCAGCGACCTCCACCCACAAGTCATAGGCTTTTCCCAGTCTGTGCATTAACTGTGGGTAGGACACTTTCCCTTCAAGGCCGATCTCTCTGAAGCGCTTCCGGGCCCCTTCCTTGGTGAACCCCACCCTCTCTCGCACTCTCTGCTTGAACAGCTTGAAGTCTGTTTTCTCTTCGCCTTCCATCTGCCCAGACACTGAAGCTAGGACACCACTCAACTGCGGTCTCAGCTTTTCCATGTACAGCTCTTAGGGGACCTTGTAATCTATACAGACTTGTTCAAAATTCTGCAGGAAGGCCTCAATGTCCTCCCCTTCCTTGAACCTGGGGTACTTCCGATGGTCCTCTTTCACTGTGACATCTGGAGGAGGTTGACCCTTTTCGAGCTTAGCCATTTCAAGCTCATGTGCCAGCTTCATTTTCTCCCTTTCTAGCCCCATTTTCTCTCACTCTAGTTCCATCCTAGCTGCACTCTCTTTCTCCTCTTTCTGCAGTCTTGCTGCAGTCTCCTCTTTCTCTTTCTGCAGCCTTGTTCTCTCTAACTCAAGGTCTCCCTGCTTAAGTTGCAGCTGGAGACGTAAGGTCTCTTCACTCAGGGATGCCATTACTTTCTCTTGTCCTCCAACGACATGAGACTAGCAGCTCCCGTTCCGGTCTTGCGTCTAGCAACAGTGTGTCCTCTGGTTTTTCCTTCCCAGATCGGAGGAACATGCACTACCTATCCAGTTGGCCCGACAGCTAGAACATAAACAAAACCTCTTTCACCACACCTTACTAGACCCTTACTTGGTCTTGCAAGCACCTTCAGAAATGGGGTTTCCTTAACCCCAAAAGAAAAAAACATTTTTTTTTCAAGGCCAAATGGTACTCTGCCTTACCAGGGTCCAAAATTAGTCCATCCCACCACTGCAGCCACCATGTCACGGCTCAGGTGGGGTGTCACCTGACGCTGCCACCACTCTGGTTTTAAGATCCCTTGAGAAGGCCAAGCACCCTCCCAAGACCATCAGACCTCCCTTATTTGGCCAAATAATAGGCATGAGGACCAGGCAGAGTAAACAACAAATAAAAGGTTTATTTTTACAGGTGGTCAGTCAAATATAGGAAACAAGGTGCAAGAACAATAACGGTACGTGGGTGAAGAGAAAAGAAACCAAATACCCTAACGCAACTAGACTCACAGTCCCTAGTCCACTCTCTCAGTTGGGCCTGAGTCTGCTCACCCTTCCTCTCAGGGTGAGGGTCTCTCCCAGCAGCAGCCTTCCTTCTGGCCCTGCTCTCTTGGAAGAAAGAACAACACTTCTTCTGTACCAGGTCTTTTGTTATAAGCCCCCTTTCTCTGTGATTGGCTAAAATTGGCACCAAAACCTCTCAGGGGCTTCTGGGAGTTGTAGGCCTGGCCTCCTCCCACTGCTGCTCAGGCTCCCTGGGCCTGCTAGGCCTTTGCTTGCACAGCACAGACAGGGTGCAAAAATCCTTTTCTTGTAAGTTACTGATCGGGGCCAGTGCAGGCGCCTTATCCCCCATGGGTGTGATGCACAGAGACCATAAAGAAGATCAAGTACATAACTCCTGAGCAGAAATTGTGGAGGGAGAAGTACAGTGCAAAGTAACAGAGCAGTCTGTGACTAAGCAGCATGAGACAGGCCCTCCCCTCCTCCACACCCTGCTTGGAACATCAATATTTGAAGAATCATCTCCTTCCACAGGCCCATGCTACACTGAAGCCTTTTGGGGCCCGGCCCCCTGACTTACCACCAAGGCCCCCCAACTTCCAATTTTTAATTTTATTTATTGCACTCGTCGCCGCCACCAGCAAACCTCGTGCCACCCTCTCTTGCCCACCGCTCTCTCTGGACAAGGCAAGCCCTGTGCCCTCCCCCCCTCCAATCCCATGCCGCTCTCTCTCAGCAAGGCAAGTCCCATGCCCTCTCGCCCTCCAATCCCACACCGCTGCTCTTTCTTGTTTTTGGCAGGCCAGCAAGGTGAGCCATACCTCCAATCTCATGCTACTGCTGCTGCTCTCTCTTGCCTCTCTTCGGCTGGCAAGTCAAGCCCTTTGGGTTGGATTATCCCATGCTGCTGCTCTGCTCTCTCTCTCATCACTCATTGGTCAGCAAGGTAAGCCCTGACCACCTTCATCCTTCCAATTCCCAAGCTGGCAAAGCAAGTGCCGCATTACCCAACCCCTCCCTCGGCTTCGGAGCCCATGATTTTGCTTCCATTCCTTTCCCCCACTCTTTTCCCACACTGCTGCTGCTCTCTCTTGCCTATCTTCGGCTGGCAAGTCAAACCCCTTGGGGTATCCCACGCTGCTTCTCTGCTCTCTCCCTCATCGCTCCCTGGCCAGCAAGGCAAACTGCCTTCTTCCCTCCAGTTCCCAAGCCAGCAAAGCAAGCGCCTCACTGCCCAATCCCTCCTTCGGCTTTGGACCCCATGATTTTGCTTCCATTCCTCTTGCCCCTCCCTTTCCCTTTTTATTTTCAGAGCTCAGCTCTGCCTCCCACCTTTGAATGGTGAGGATTCCTCTTCCCCTCCCTTCCCTTTTTATCTGCGGGGCGCAGCTCTGCCTCCTACCGTTGAATAATTAAATTATTTAAATTAGCCAGTGCCAAGTGCCCACCAAGATATTTAAATACCCCCCGATTTAGAAATTCCTGGCTACGGGCCTGTCCTTCCATATGTCCCTGTGTGCTAACTGCAATCATCAGGCATCCATCTGCTTAGGGTGGCCCGTCTGGCATCAACCAGTGCATCCCCTTCCTCCAAAAGGACCACAACTAAAAAAGAAGCCAGTCTCACTTGAAGAAAGATTTCATGTCCTCAAATATGGCAATCAGATCTTCAGCACAAAGCAAAAACATAACCCACCTCAAAAGGAAAGTTTAATGGCTTAGTGCAAGCCAATCGCCTTCAGTACCCTTTCTTGATTTGGGAAACTACCTTCATCATCACAACAAACTTTATGTTACCAATACTGCTATTAATTTTAAAAGTACTGTGTTCATCCTAGGCCCAGCAAAACTTGTCATAAGCTTAATCCAAAGTATCTAAAAGTGTAGACCCCCAATTTTGTTTCCTTACCTAGAAGACAGAGGTCCCAGTGGGGTTCTAAAGCAAGGTACTCCCCTTGGCCGCCTTTTTCTAAAAGCCTGCTCTATCAATTTGCTTTCAGAGGCCGGGTCTATCCTCCAGAAGGAGCCTTTGCCTGGTTCTTCCTGGGAACGTGGTACTTTGATGAAATAACGATTCAGAGAGAGGTTGTGACGTATTGAATTCTATGGGATGTAAGAGATAATGTAGTAATTATCAGTCTCTTCAGCACCAACCTGGAATGATCTCTTATGAGATCAGACTCCAGCTAGCACAGGCTCATTTGGTAATACAGGCAGTTGTAAATCATACTGCATTTTCCTGGTGCAGGACATAAGTGTACAAAAATCTGACATAATACAGCCCCACAAACACCCTTTGCCATCATGTCTCA